GTCTAATTATCGTTATCGATAAAATCCCAGAAAATATCGAGATATAATTTTTTGTCAATATCGCACACCCCTACCTGGCAGTAGTGCATCAGTTGTACGCCGCCTTTCTGCATAATATTCACCAGGTCTCTGTGTTTCAGGACAGCGATTCCTCATTAAGTGATGACACAGGACTGGGCAGTGAAGAGAATGGATTCAGTAGGTACAGCTTTGCCTTGCAAGGTTTTTTTGCATCACATGTCTTAAGAAATTGTCTAAGCTGTCTGACATCTGTTTTAGTGTGTAGTGTTGCCATGCTGTTTAAATCCAGGCAACTCTGGCCCTTGGGATCTACTTTCCCACAGATTTTAGCTCCAACCTTGATCAAACTAATTTGCCTGTAGCTTTCTAGTAATCCTGAAAACTTTTTATTAGCTTCTTCAGGTGTTTTTGATTAGGGTTGGTGCTAAACTCTGCAGGAAAGTGAATCATGAGTGCCTGAGTTGCCCATCCCTGGTGTAAGGACTCTGATACCTTCTTGTTTTAGATGCTGCCGCCCTAATGGCTCTTGCACAGCAGTATGTCCCTGATGCTCAGCTGGTGGAGGACATCGGCAGAGAGGCGGTCATCAACTTGCCCCATGCTGCCTCAGAGGACGGCAGTCTCGCCCTCTTCCTGAACGAACTGGATAAACGGCAGGGCGAGTTTGGTGTAGTCAGTTATGGGTTGTCAGACACTACATTAGAAGAGGTGAGACAGCTCTGAAGCAGCAGCTTGTCCCCACCCACTGATTCATTCCTACTGTAAAAGGATTTACCCCTCACTGAAGTTCAAGGTTGTGGTATACATGTCTGTCGACAGCCAGTCATTATCCCATTCTGTCGCCGAGAGAGGAAATCCCTCTTAAACCTTTGTGGGCTCAAACATTAGCTAAAAATAAACCGGTACTAAGTAGAGAGTGCTTATTCTCATGGCTGCTGTTGTAACATAATATGTCTTCTTGCCATGTGGAGGCAGAAGGGGCTTCGTCAGACTGTAATATTTAGCTTTGCCTTCATATTTTAGATCTTTCTGCGTGTGGCAGAGGAGACAGGTGTGGATGCAGACCCTGAAGAGCCAGCAGCATCTCCAGGCCACCAGGGGGCGCCATCGGAGGACAGAGACACAGGTGAATGAATATGATCTGTACCTGATGAGCCAATAGCCTTTTTCAGACTGTCAGTCCAAATCTGATTTTTGTGCATATTTGATTGGAATCAATCATATTTAGCAATGAAAAAAAAATCTGCAAAACAGCAAAAAATAAATAAAATCACATGAAATATGATTTTACAAATCTGTTTCAAGCTACATTCATATGTGGTTTGAAATCATATTGAAATTGCATTTCTGGAAATCCATTTCAGTCTGACCGCTCAGATCGATTTTGCTTCACTTTCTCACGCCACGTAAAACGTAAACATCAGACATTGTTTGTAGAAAACATGCTGAATGTCTTTGCAGAAACAAGGTTGTGTTGTTGCAAAGAGCAAGTCAAGTGGAAAATGACAATATAGAGCAGGTCTCGGGCTTGGTTTTGTCGGGTATTTAAAAATTTTTTTTTTTGTTTGTTTGCTTTATTCTTCTCTCTGCTTCGCTGGCAGGACGAAAAAAGACAATTAGGAAAGGTACAAAATAAAACAAAACAGACTGCGTTATTGTTGACAGCAGTAGCGCAGGTGTAATGACATTAACCAGAAGGTCTTTCTCTTGTACACAGAGGCCCAGGAGACAGAACCACTGAGTGGGGATGGTCAGGGTGGCAGTGCTCCTCTAACAGGTTGTTTCCTCACATGTCAGCAGCTTCGAGCACTTTTCACCAAAAGACTGAAGTACGCCCTTCGCAGTCGCAGAGGCATTTTTGCTCAGGTACACAGTACTAATAGACAAGTTGCTACAATCATTTGGTTAGTACAAATTCAGTCAACAGAAAGAAATGTATTGAAAAAATTGCAGAATCATTTCAATTTGACAAAAGCATATAATGTAAAATATGCAACCGTTCAAAACTTTGGAGTAAGTAATAAATTACAATTTAAAATATAAAAAAAAACATTTATTTGTAATAATATTTTACAATATTACACTTTTTATTGTATTTTTGATCAAATAAATGCAGCTTTGGTAATCATAAAAGACTAAACGGTAAAACAATGGTTGATTTATAAAGCCATCATGTTTTGCAGATTGTACTTCCTGCGGTTTTTGTCCTTATCGCTCTGCTCTTCAGTCTCATTGTCCCACCCTTTGGGAAATATCCATCCCTGGAGCTCCAGCCGTGGATGTATGGAGAACAGTTCACCTTCTTCAGGTACTACATTCAGGGAAGGAGCGTTTCAAGGAAAATCCTGCTGTCACCTGCAGATTTCTCACTTATTTTCTCTTTCCCATAAAGCAATGATGCCCCCCAGGATCCAGTCATACAGAACCTCCTGGATGCCCTGCTGAATCCACCTGGATTTGGGACCAAATGTATGGAGCCAAACAGGTACGATCCCTGTCACTGGGGAAACAACAAGAGAAAATAGGCCAGTCAGTTTAATCAATGTAACGTGATGCTTTATTGTGTGCTCTTTCAGAGACACTGAGTGTTTAGAGGAAGCTGAAACAAAGTTTGCCCGGCCCCAGATTCCCTACAGCATGTGGCAGCTCTTTCATGAAGGCAACTTGACTGTAGAGAAGCCATCCCCTGACTGTGAGTGCAGTACTGAGGATATCCGCAGGATGCTGCCGGACTGCCCGGAGGGAGCAGGAGGAATCCCCCCTCCTCAGGTCTGCTTTCCATCCATGTATTCATCAATAATATACAATATGTTTAAGTTTTAAGTTTTGGGTCTTTAACATTTTGGTTGTTGTTTTGAAAAAAAGTCTCTTAGGCTCACCAAGGCTGCATTTTTTTATCAAGAATACAGTAACACAGTAATATTGTGAAATATTATTACCGTATAAAATAACAGTTTTCTACTTTAACGTGTTAAAGTAATTTTATTCCTCTGATGGCAAAGCTATTATACCAGTCTTCAGTGTCACAGGATCCTTCAGAAATCATTTTAATATGATGATTGGTGCTCAGCTGCACTGCTTAGAATGTTTGTGGAAACTGTGATGTTTTTTTGTTTTAAGAATTCTTTGAATAGGAAGAGAACAGCATTTATTTAAAGTATTTTTTTTGGCACAGTGTAAAAGTCTTTACTGTCACTTTAATAAATGTAATGCATGAAATTGCTGAATAAAAGTATTAATTCTTAAAAAAAAAAAAAAAAGACATTTTGCCCCAAACCTTTGAACGATAGTGTAACTTCATGTACAATATGTTGTAAGATGTATGCTGGTATTTACTGTACATTTCAATCAGTTAGCATACTCCCAGAAATAATCTGTCATTGTTAAAGGGGTCATATGATGCGATTTCAAGTTTTCCTTTCTCTTTGGAGTGTTACAAACTGTTCGTGAATAGATAATATCCCTAAAGTTGCAAAGACTAAAGTCTCAAACCCAAAGAGATATTCTTTATAAAAGTTAAGACTGGTCCACACCCTCCTAAAATGCCTCGTTTAAACACGCCCCCACATGTCTACCTCACTGTGTGGGAAGATTTGCATAACACCGCCTAAATGTATGCGCAAAGAAAGAAGGCGTAACTTTGATTCTAGCTGTAGTATTGTTGCTGCCGCTGCCGCCGTGTCATGGAGAGGCTGTGTGTTTCGTTGCGAAAGAGAAAGGTGAATTCAGTTCCCCTGTTTCCCCTTCGGCACGCATGCTGACCCGATACAGTCTATGATGCTGACAAATAATGCTGACTCAAACTTTAGTCTTTGCAACTTTACATATCTTCTTTATGCACCAAGAGCTTGTAACAATTGTAAAAATTGAAATCGCATCAAATGACCCCTTTAAACCGCATAAACACATTTCATTACACCAAATAACAAAAAATAACAACGTCATATGACCCTTTTAATAGAGATGTTTACATTTATTGTCCTTTTCCTTAGGGAAAAACACATTTGTAGAAAAAAAAAACTACAACTTTGAAACCAAGAGAAACAAATGTATAAAAAAAGAGAGATCTTGAAAATAAATGGAATAGCTTACTTGTTATTGTACTTCATCTGGTGTTTTAATTTTTGAACTAACACTACCACCTTTTCCTCATGTAGATAAAACAAATGACAGGTGATTCCCTGCAAAATTTGACAGGTCGCAACATTACTGACTACCTCATCAAAACATACCCCCAGATTCTGAAGAAAAGGTTCCTTTTTCATTTATTATGGAAAATACTCTGTTATAAACAAAAGTCATCTGTTTTGACAGCACATATGTGTAACTTTTCTATCTCTCTCATACAGTTTGAAGATGAAGAAATGGGTAAATGAATTTAGGTGAGTTGATTGCCGTCAGAAATCCAAACATTCAACATTTAATTTCAGTTTGATTTGGTGTTCATGAAATCTCTGCTTACCCATTGCAGATATGGAGGTTTCTCTCTGGGAGCTAAAAACTCTCAAGCTGTGGATGAGCCACATCACCTGGAGGAGTCTGTTTTGGCTATTAGACGACGCTACAGCATTGCAGAGGTGTGCCACCTAAGTTTTTGACTGGTTTTAATAAGTATATATTCTATATAATAAAAATGTGTGAATGAATGAAATCTGGACATACTACATTCATCATGTTGTCATGTGACCTTCCAGTGTCAGTTGCGTTGCTTCACTGCCATTCCCAACTCCTCTTCTGTGTCCTCATGGGATAGTGTCTATCTATACAGTGTCTGTCCAGGTTATTTTTTCACCTACTGTTTTATGAATACATACATTCAGATACTGTTTTTCACCTACTACATATTAGGGAAGTATGCAATTTCGGAATTCAGTCATTGTGTTTATGAATGGGTCTTTGAATCATTCACTCAAACGGTTCATTCCAAAATGCTGATTCATTCAGAAACAAAGCACCAGCACTGTGTTATGTGCAGTGTTGGTCAGTAACGCATTACTTAGTAACGCGTTACTGTAATTTGATTACTTTTTTAGTAACGGAGTACTTTAACGTGTTATAATTTTCAAAATAGTAATTAGAGTATAGTTACAAGCCGAAGTCTCTATACGTTACTGCCGCGTTACATTGCTGACAGAATGCAGTGTTTTATAATCTAGAGATTGTAAAAAGGATGTAGCACACACACTGTGGAGTCAAGTGCCAGTGGATTAGAGACCTGCTCCCGTGAGACCCGACGCAAAAGAGCGTGGCACAGGACAAGATGGGCGAGTGCTGGTGCGGGCGGGTAGACACTCGTGTGTGTGCGGGATGCGGGAGAATAAAATGATTCACGGGACTCCCGCGAAATAGAAATATCTAAACATAAAATATCTAAAACAAATAAATTGTTATTCATCTATTGCACAAAAGCAACATGAACTAATATAAAATATAAACGATTAACAGGTGCAAGCGTATGCAGTTTCTATTTAGACACGTGTTCGCTGCGTTGAGCAATGCAGTGCTGAAATTTGCTCACGAATCCTCTCATTATAACACACGAAATTGTAGACATTATAAAAGATTCATTATGCATATATTTATTGTGTTATAACAGAGATTTGTGAGATTGCGATAAACTGAGATGTCTTTTAGAGATTATAAATGCAGCACTCTTTGCTGGCATTCTGCCATGCCAAACCATGCACGCAGCAGCCGCTTGCTTTAGTTAAAAATAACAGTGTTCTGTGAATGTTGATGCTTTAATAAATATTTATCAGGAGCGTGTATGCTGGGATTTCATAAATTTCATGGAGAAAAAAATTGCGTAACTAGTAATGTAACTAATTACTAATTACTTTTGAAATAAAGTAATCAGAACAGTAACGTGATTACTTTTAAAAGGAGTAATCAGTAATGAGTAATTTGATTACATTTTCAGAGTAACTTGCCCAACACTGGTTATGTGTTATTAAATATTATGTCTGAACTGTATCTTGGTGCATCTAAATTGTCATTTAATAGTAACTTCTTGTTTATAGAACTGTTGAATAAACATTTGAATTGAATAAACATCACATTTGCTATCATGCTAATTTTTGGGAAAAACAGGTCTCTTGTTTGTATGATATTGCTTAACTATAACATAAAGACAAAGGCAAAGTTATTTTTGCCACCATTTCTTGAATTTTAAAGGCATTTGTTTTGTTTTTTTTGGTCATTGCAAAGTGACACACTTGATAATGTCAGCTTGCACATTGTTAGAACAACATTATCGTAGACACCTAGCATGACTCTTCGTTTTTGTTCTTTTGCAGAATGGTTCTTTAGATCAGTTCCTTCACAGACTTCCGGATGTCCTTTCAGGACTCACCAGCCAAAACAATGTGAAGGTGAGTAAGTCACACGTGAGTGACCTCTCTCAAGCTCAACCTTCTCCTGATCTTTTCATTAAGCTGTGATGTGTTCCCTTTCTCAGGTCTGGTTTAATAATAAAGGATGGCATGCCATGGCATCATTTGTGAATATCATGAACAATGGTCTCCTTCGTGCCAACCTGCCACCTG